AGCTTGAAGGAGATGTGTGGCTTGGTTTCAAGATCAAAGTGATGAAAGGTAAGAATTATGATTTTAGCTTGAATATTCTTTCAAAAAAGGTTGGTAACCGTAAGAAATATATTGTGGTAGCAAAAAAAAGCTTGATTAAAGAAGATTTAATGACATGCAAGCCATCAAACTCTTGGATGCATTATGGATTCAAAGTGATTTGGAACGTAAGCATGTGTTATGGGTATATTATGGTACATTAGGTTCAGCTAGTTGAAAATTAATGGTTGCATGTTAAAGTAATTATAAGAATAAAGATGAACAATGTGGATATTGATTAAGGATTCTTGGTTAAGATGCTGCCCATATATAATTGTTTATATGCATGAAATTGGAAATAATGTGCTCGGTCGGGTATAGTGAAGAACAATTATTTGAAATGTGAATAGTTCTTGAAAATGAAAATAACTAAGAATTTAGTACATAGGGCAGTAAATGTGAGCTGAATTGGAATGATAAATACTAAGTATATTAAGCTTGGTTTATTGCTAGGAAGTGTTCAAGTGAAAAAAGATTATCATGGTGATTAACTAGAGAGGAAACGGGTGATTGCCAAGCTAATTTAATTTGAAACGTAACTGGATAAGTGGCGAAGTAATATCCTGCCATTGTAAGGTGAGTCTGAGGGGTCTATTTCTAAAGATTCCATACTATATAATGTTATATGTATAGTAACTTGTCAATGATTTATTCAACATCTTTATGGAAAGCATGAGCTCCAAGGAAATGACAAGTGATTTGATAGGTGAATTGTGATTTGAATACTTGTTTTGGATCAATTTATATACTACTTTTGTGGAAAGCATGAGATGGTAGAAACCATAGGCAATTGTGGATGCAAAATGATTTAGAAATTGTTTGTGTAGACTAGATATGTATACATATATGTAAAGCATTTTTGAAACCGGGAAACAAGCCCTTTTGCAATGTTTTGCTTCAAATCTGTGCCTTGTATCTTTATGTGATGTGCATAGTTAAATGAACTTGATAAATGGTTTAAATGCGAATTCTTGAGAGCCGATTTTAGTCCGAACTTTATGTAAATGTTTACACCATTCATTTTAATGTGAAAAACAATTTTGAAAGATTGTTAAACCTTGCTTTCAAAGGTTTTAAAGAAAACTCTTGAAAACGGTTTTGATAAACTGAGAGCATCGAGAGTAAGCCGAATGTCACATTAGAATAGTGTGACCCTTGTGCACAAGTGAGCTCTATCTAGAGAACTTTTGGATCATTAACAGGCTTTTAGACATGGCTAGGCCACAATCTGTGATTATACATGGCAAGGCCACGGGTTGTTATACGTGGCAAGGCCACGAGTTAATAAATGTGGTTACGACCACATGATTTCTCCGATGTTAGCCAACATCGTCGAGACTGCCATGGCTATGGGAACTCGATGGATGAGGGGCCTTTTGGATTGTTATTACATGAAAGAGGGTCCACGGGTTGATTATCAATGATTACCTACTCGAGAGCCTTGAGAGTTTTTAAACTCGTACTCTTTTACATGGTGGAGAGATAATGTTTTTCTGCAGCTCCCCTGTTTAAGTAAAAGCTTTCAGTGCTTTATGTGTTGATCATGAGTTGATATATGTGAATGCACATGATTAATTTTACATGCCACACATTTTAGGAGCGTGCGTGCTTTTATATGTCTATTGGTACCTTTAAAGAAATTATATGATTTTGATTAGTGAAATTTTATTTTACTACGCTTTGATTTCAGCATTATTTGCCAAGGAAAGTATTGCACTATGATTTTACAGCATTATTTTTACAAGGCACAAACACTTTATTTGTTATTTGATTTTATAAAGTTATGATTTTATACTTTGATTTTATCCTTCACATTAGCTACTCTAAGCTTGTTTCCCATCTACGCCCTACTCACAGAGCCGATGATCACTGAGTCTGCGAGACTCACCCTCTTATATCCCATTTTGCAGATAATGATTAGCATAACGTGCATTCATCAACATATATTGCCCACCACTTATAGGTAAAGGCATCTCATAGCAACTTTTTTCAAGTCACTCTACTGCTAGAGGTCGAGTCATTCATAGTGTATATTGTTTGTAAATAGTGTTAATACAAATGTACTTTTGGAGGTTAAAAACCTTGATGTATTTCTACAATTATGTGGAATAAAAGTTAAGGCGATTTATAACGACTTTGGTTCAAATCATATTAAGAGAGTTATATGGTTCAAAGCAATTGCATAGATTGGTGGAACAAATATAACATATTAACAAAGTTTCAATTAAGGCTTGTTCGGGACTTGACAGGTTCTTTCGCAAGACTCGAGCGCTGGTCAAGATCAAGGAGCGATCATTACACAAATTGTTTATTTTACAAAAAAAAATGGTTTTGATTTGATTACTACATCCTGCAAATACTTGTTTTTGTTTGAAATACTTTGACACAAATGGACAATGAAAACACAATTTGGAAAAAAAATAAAGGTTTTTGAACTACAAATGGTTTGCTTAAACTACTAAATTTTGTAAACACATACTATTTTGAAATACTCATAGTGATTATACAAACTCGTCATATTTTGAAATGCTCAGATATGATTGGATTATGCTTAGAAAGTGATACTTAGATGTATTTGGAATATTGTGTATTTGCATTGAATTTGAAAATGTATTTTGATAAGCACTCTTTTGTTACCCTACTCTATATATACTCACAGGGTTATTTTTAACTTGCACATGTAAGATGCATTTGTTGTTTCAGATCACTAGATTGTTTGGCTCACTATCCTTTGGGAGGAGCTATTTTGGCTAGATATTGGAAGTGTTCAATAAGGCATCCAATAAGTGTCAACACTTTTGCTTTAAGTTGTATTCTGCTAGTCTAGTCTTGTTTGTCATTATGGTATTGAACTACATTTTACATTTTACAAATAAATGCTATACTTTGGGAATTGCCATCAGGTGGCTATACTCAAGATTTGCCATGAGTTGGTTTATACTTTGATATTTGGAAAATATTTTGCTTTTCCATTTTGAGCATAAGATCATGCAAACTGATATATATATTGATATTCGATACACATACACACATACATACAAACATGTATTGTATATGTTTCCATAGTGACGTGTCACATGATATATTTTGACTAGTTTGATTCGCAAGCTTAAAGCTTGCTTGAGTTGAGTGGGACTTTCCCATTTGGCCCTTGCATCACTCATGGACCCTGGATTTGGGTCGTGATGCTGTATTATAACATTTTCATTAATTCGGTGACTCTATCCCAAAACTGGTCAATTTAGTACTTGTAATTTGACATTTTGTGCACTTAAGTCATTTTTCCTAACTCTGTTTAAGTTGACTGTTAGTGGTGTTGATGTGGCACTAACATGCTAGACAATGCTAATGTGGTATTGATGTGTTAGACAAAAAATTGAGAAAAAAATTCTTTTTTTTTGCCAAATCACAGGGACTAAATTTTACAAAATTGCAAAGCATAGGGACTAAATTGAACAAAATACTATAGTATAGGGACTAAATTGAACAAAGCTCTCTATTTGAGTTAGATTAAATTTTTACTTTCATAATTACTAGATATAGACATTTTATATTCTATTAGTCTTTTTGTACTTGTACATTTTTATCATAAAATACCTTTTTAGCCATGTCCAACAAAGTAGCTTCTAATTCACATCCAATGTCCAACTAACTTTCTCTTCCTTTTTACTTCATAGTAGTTGTTATTCTCATGCTTTAAAGCAAGGATCTCCCATTCATACCTAATGGCAGCACATTTTGCTCTTACTCTAACTTTGTCATTTTTCTTGTAAAATAATGCAAAATGCTTTTCCATTGAGTACTCATAAAGAACAGCTTTGAAAGGTGCAGGATTTTAAAAATTTGACCCATAAAGAATGGAATGATAAGGAATTTGCATGACTAATCCCTCAACACTTGTTTAATGATTTAAAAATGGTAGTATAAATTATGATGAAAAGTGTTTATGTATTTTTTTTAGAAAAAATGTTGGCAAAGATAAGGAGTTGAGAATGCCTTAGCTTTGATCAATAAGGCAATTTCTGTGAATCTTAATTAAGAGCAAATCATTTTTTCTTCTCCTTTAAAAGCTTTCACTAGTATAGATTTGGAATGTTCAATTAGGCTTACTTTTGTCATCATGATGAAAAACATTATATAATCTATAAAATTAAAATACCAATCTTATGGCACCCATAATCAATGCAATCTTGAATTCAAGCACTTTTCAATGAACTTTCTCAAATGATTTCAACAACTTTTTACATCAGACATGCAATACTTTGCAGCTAATGTACCAGGTCATTTCCAATGTCGCTTGTTTCCCTAGGCTTTTCTTCATTTTTTTTCAGTTATCTTATGCACTTCATTGGCTCCCTAGCGCACCAAAGGAATTAATAGATAAGAACTCTCCTACCTTTAATAAAGGGAGGATTTATTGTAATAATTCTATAAAAAAAGTAAGTGAGGCATTCTTAGCTCAATTTGCCAAAAAATATGGAGTCCTCTCTGGCTGCCAACGAAGAAGAACTAGTTGATGGTGGATTCATGGCATTTTTCTAGTATGTTTGCCTGACAATGTTCATCCTTCACAATCTATTGTTTTTCGAATCACTGATCTTTTGTAAATTGTCTTCTTGGGCATGAGTAACCAGGTATTTTATGATCAAAGTTTTTATAAGTGTAAAATATTCTAACACATTAGCATCATCTGACATGTTAGCACTATGTCAATACCACTAACAGTCATTTTGGGCAGAATTAGTTAAAAGGACTCAATTGCACAAATTATCAAAGTATAAAGATGAAATTGACTAGTTTTAGGTTAGAGGGACTTAATTGATGAAAACACTATAGTACAATGAGTACTTTGACTGATTTTAATCATAGTGGATTAAACTCCTTAGTTTACTAAGGGAAAGAATGTAGACACCAAGAAACAGCCAAACCTTTATAAACCGGTTATGTAATTTTCTCTTTATTTTTCACTCTTTACATTTGTGCATTTTACTTTACTTTGAAGAGTTTGATATTTTTTTTAACTTGTCTATTCATTGATTATTCATCAAATTACTTTTGGCATGTTTTGATTGAAAACAAATTTGAGAAACTTATCTCTTGCTTGCCTTCATTGAAAAGTTTGATTTATTGAAAAAGATTTTTAGAAATCCAATTCACCCCTGCTTTCCTCTTAGATTACTTCTTCATTATTATAGAACTAAAATTTCTAACAAACTTGATTGTAATGTCATCATTGTGAGAGAGCCTTTGAAGCCTCGAAATGATGTTGTATTGTAGAGAAGAAGAAAGAAAAAAGGGCGAAACGACAACATGCTTTTAAGGCAAAATATTGGGCAAAGCGACGTCTTTTAAAAGATATTCATAATAAGCAAAACGAAACTATTTTAGGGGAAAAAAAGAAAGAAAACAGCTTTTGGGTTAAATTTGACTCGGCCTAGCCTGCATCTACATCACTCAAGCCCAATAGCTTTAGGCCTTTTTGGGTTTTTAAACCCATTTAGGTATGCCTTTGACTTATTTTTTTGATTATTTAATGTGGCTTTTTCTTTTTCTTTTTCTATTTCCAATTTATATGTTTATTCATTTATATTATTTTCTTTCTTTAATGCACATATTTAAGTTTGGAAATTTACTTCAAAAAAATGCAAAAAACAATAATATGAAAAATAAATTTTTAATTATTTCTTTTGCTTATTTATTTATTTATATATTTGATGTACATATTTAAACCTATGAATTTTTTTTAAAAAAATGTTCATTAGGTAAAATAAAATTATAAAAATGAGTGCCCAAACATCATTCAAGTTTGTGTATTTCTAGGGGGTTGTCTTAATCTGGACATTCCTACATCCTGGTTTATTGCACATATCAGTTTTATGCTTTGTTTCATCTTTATTTTAAGCTTTTTTTCTTTAACGCTAGAAGTTCCCACAAGGCCTAGCTACGCTATTAAAATTTTATTAACCAAAATAAAACATAAAAATAGAAGGGAGACATAAACCTTAACTCAGAGTTTACATGAACGAAAATTAAATAAAATCCTAAAGGAGGTTTAATTTCATGTGCATACTTATGGGTGGTACAATGAAAATTAAAACCTTCCTTCTTACAAGATTCTAAAAAAAATAGCAATAAAATAAATTAGGATTACTACTTCTTTACAATTATTTAACATGAACGTAGGGTAAACTTAATTGATCAAGGTTGAGTATACCACATAGTTTACCTTGTGCCTGTGAAAATACACAAAGATCCTGGTGTCTTAGCCTTTGTTCGATAAGTAATCTACTGCCTGGTTACCTTCCCTATAGATATGGGAAATTCTATAAGAAGTGCAAGCATTGTCTTATAGATTCCAGTAAATATCGTATATCAAGTGACCCTTTTCGATCGTCCTGAATCATTTAAATCACCACTAAAGCATCCATCTCTATCCGCAGTTTAGAAATGTTGTGCTCCTGGCATAGAAACAAACCTATATGTAATGCTTGTGATTCCACTTGTAAAGAGTTGGAGGGGCAAAGATTTTTCAAGAAATAAAAAATGAGCATAGTTGTACGATCTCAAACTAAACCTCCACTTGTCGTAATCTATCCATGCTTGGAACTGCCATCCACATTCAGCATAAATTCACTTATGAATAGTTTTACCCAAGTAGTAATTTGAGGCTGTGCTAACTGTTTAGTGAGAAATTGAAAACCCACATACTGGTTATTTGGGTGTCTCTTTTCCACTGCAATTGCTTCAGAAGATTACCCTCATACAACTGTCTTAACAATTTCATGGGACGCCATATAAGTCTATCAAGATACATACCCAAGTTCCTATGTTTTGCATCATTTCATCCCAACCACAGAAACCAACATATGGACAAGGGCAATAATGTTGAAGTAAGATCTTAGTGGATTGATGTGATTGTGTAAAGTATCGATTTCAAAACTTTCTTTTATAAAGGAAGCAAGCAATCCAATTATACAAGCGAAAACACACATCATTATTAATGCAAGTAACATACTCACATCCAAAAAAAATAAGAACTATTAAGAAAGAAAAACCATGCTTTTGATTTTGAGATTTTTATTTTCGGACATCACCACACCAATGAATGATTTCTCGACTAAACAAGTTTAC